TTTAGCTCTGGAAATTATTATAAAAAAAAAACCTAACATCTGTATATAATGCTCTATGTGACGTAGCTAAACAAAGACATATTTTTGAAATACCTTATACTCAAGCAATTTAAATGCTCAAAAGTACATACTGAAGTACATATGTAATTTGCTTCCCCAGTATCCATGCTTCCCTTCTTTCTTCCCAACAGCCATTGATTTCTTTCCTGGGGATCCATATATCTCTGAAGGAGCTGACTCCAGTCTTTTGAACCCAGAGATTGATCAAGAATGGGCATGCAACGTCAGCAAGTTCAATGAGGGTGACTCTCCAGGCTGGCCTGAAAATGCTGGTACACATTCTGTCTTCCCTCCTAGATATACAGAAGGACTCAAATGCCCCAGAGCCTTCTGACCTATACTTCTGGTCCAATTGTTCATTCACTTGTTTATTTAGCAAGCATTTATGAACATGTACTGTATGCTAAATGAGATTCCAGGTGAGGTGCCAGATGGTAAAATACAAAGTCGAATAAGACTCAGCTAGCCACATTAAGAGATTAAGATTCCAGTCAGGTATGGTGGTTCACACCTACAGTCCTAGCACTTGTGAGTTCAAGACCAGCCTAGGCTAGTGAGAATCTCTTAGAAAAAAATGTTTCCAGTGGAGGAAACAGGGAGGCATGATGTGAGGTCAACATTCATGAACACTGACAGAACAAACTTTAGAGACAGAGCAGATTATTGCTTCAAGATAACTTCTGAGCAAGAAGTGCATGGCCTAAACATACATCCTTTTTGCAGACTGGATATTTTTAGGTAAATCAGTCTGTCTCGAATCACCCAACTATCTGGGGTTTGGGTGAAATTTCTTGCTGTACTCCAACTGCAAAAGAGAAGATTGAAGTTTTCTCCACCACTGGCTAGCATCTTAATCCAAAGTAAACTTTCCTTTGAAACTAGTTTTCTGTTACACAGAAATAAATACTTGGATATTAATAATAATAATAGCATGTTTTCTAAAGAGGCAAATAAAATAGTACACTGAATGTGCACTGAAATCAACTAGAGACAAGACACAATCGTACTTTGTGACCTTTAAGTTGGTTTTCCTGGGTTAAATCCCTGTATTCTCAGGGTTCTCTAGAGGAACAGAATCCACAGAATATATTACAAGAGGATTTACTAGATTTAAACAATATAGGCTATTGTTTACTAGATTTAAACAATATAGGCTAGGTAGTCCAACAATGGCCATCAGCGTGCTGGAGAGGCTGAGAACCCAGTAGTTTCCTTAATCCATAGGGTTGGATGCCTCAGCAGTCCTAATCTGGCAATAAAGGGCTGAAGGAATCCTGGAGAGCTGCTGGTCTTTAGTCTTAATTGTAATGGGAAAGAAGCTGGGTTCTGATGCCAGCTAAGGATGGCAATGGCAAGTGACAGGAACAGGATGGGTGCACTCACCAGCAAGAGTCAAATCAGGCAGGCAAGAGCAGCAGCTGTTCCCTCAGACCACTATATCTGGGCCACTACTGGCAGATGCTGCCCTTCCTGAGGAAGGATGCTCACCTTAGTGGTCTTCCCCCCTCGGTTAATCCTCCCAGGAATTACCCTCACTGACTGGCTCAGGGACCAGTCTCTTGGTTACTTCCAGATTCAATCAAGTTGACAACCAAGATTAACCATCGTGATCCCAATATGAAAAATTTGGATACAAACCACATACTCATCATGTGATATGATTACATATAGCCCATTCAATTTGATTACACAGGGAACATATAAAATAGCTGAAAATTTAGAGCAGGTTTTTGCAATCAGGCAGACCAGGTGGGAGAGCCTTCCTAAAGTCATTAGAACCATCAGGGTAGTTTCCCCCAACTAAACACACCCCAACTTTACCTTGGGCTCTCCCTTACAAGCATTGCCCTGGCACTTCACTCTTGCTGAAAGTGTTCTCTCGCTTATCATAGGGTGGGAAAAATACCTGGTGTGTGAGTTGCAGGGTGGAAAGAGGGTCCTGAAACAACACTGTAGGAATAAAAAGCAAATTGTCAAGCTGATGGAGGACAACCCGAATCATTAAATCATAGCATGCTATTTATAAGCCCTATTATCAACTGCATTTTCTAATGCTGGCCAAAGCTAGAAAGATGAAAATCATCTTTATTGATTACAAACTGAACTCTAATGAAAATATATGCATCACAGAGAGTTCATACCAAGTAGTTTTTTGATGCCAAGGACTTTTTGCCTGGGCCACATGTAAAAAATCAGCTTGGAGGTAGAGCATTCCTCACCATACAAGTCATCCAGATATAGACCTCACTATTGGTTGCTTCAAGTATTGCATCCTAAGCTTTAGAAATATAAGAGATTAAGACAAAAACAGAAGATTCATGGCTAGTTGGGGTTTTCACCCCATTTAAGTTATACTCAAGAAACATGAGACAGCAAGTCATATGACAGGATGGCTTTCACTATTTTGCCAACCTAAAATGTGCTAACTCTCCATATCTCAGTTTTATCGGTGAAGCTGGTTTGTGGTTCAACTCAGCTTTGTGCTGAATTTAAAGCTTCTTGGGAACAAAGTTGTGAGATAAAGATGGATCTCCATACCCTCTCTCAATAGATGTTCCAACACTTTCAGAAAGGATTGGTGTAGTTTTTATTTTTCTCATATTCTTACCGCATAGCTAGCTATAAGCAGGATTTCTTAATTTAAAATACGAGTTAAGTCGGGCATGGTGGCACAGGCCTTCAACCCCAGCACTCAGGAGGCAGAGGCAGGCAGATCTCTGTGAGTTCAAGGCCAGCTTGGTCTACATAGTGAGTTCCAGGACAGCTGGGGCTACTGGGAGACCCTGTCTCTAAAAAGATAAAAATAAATAAATAAATAAATAAATAATCTTCAAAAGGAATCCTAGTGAGTTTTTAAAGGTTGAGCCCTATCACTTTTTGGACACTTTTGGAGGTCTTCAAAACCTTAAAAATGTAACAAAACTTAAAAGGTTAAAAAGTCTGTAAAGATGGTAGGCTTAATTAAATTCTTTAAGTCACAGTAAATTCAATCCAGCACAAAGATTCCAAATGTTCACCGTTGGGAACTAAAATGTTACTTAGCAATAAAAAATAATCAAAATAAATGATTATCAAAATCATGGAGACTTGAGGAAGGAGGTGTCCGAAACTGCACGTTGCAGGCTAGAGGCAAAAGGTTAGGTCAGGGCGTCCCCTGCAGCAAGGCCTCCCTGGGCCGGATCCACTCATCCAAACCGTGCACCTTGCATCCAGCCTAGGCGTGGCGCTCAACGGAATGCTGGAACTCAGCCCCCAAGGTACCGGACAGTCCTGCATCCCTACCCAGTTCCCTGATCTGCGACCCAATGACCACGCGAAGGGTCACTGTAAAGTTTTACAAGGTGGGGATTATCCCATTGCAGACTTTCCACCAATTCGCCCCGGAACCGGCAGGTCCTAGGGTTGCGCTCACTTCGGAGCAATGTCCGCTCCGGGGCGCGTTCAGTCCCGCAGCTTAGAGAGCCGGTACGCCGCTGGCCGCGGTGGGGAGGCGGCTGGCGTGAAAACGGCCAGCAGCCAGAGCAGGGCCAGAGAACTCAAGAAAAGTCAAATCGCCTGTTTTCCTCTCACGTGGACCTCGCACGCTTCTCACCGGGACCTGTGGAGCTCACCTCGCCTCAGTCCCAAGGTCCCAAACTCCACGTCCTCTGCCTTAGGAACAACGACACCTTGGGACCGCGCGGAAGCCGACGGAGTCCGGCGGCTGGGCAGCAGTTGGGCGTGGCTTCTCGGAGGAAGGCGGCTCCTGGGGGGGCGGGGAGTTTGCGTCAACGCCGGCTCTGGACGCTAATTGGCTAAACTGCGGTGCGCGGAGCCCGCCAGCATCCCCGCCCAGCCCGGCAGCTCCTCCTCCTCGCCCAGCAGCTCAGGCCGAGCCGGCTCGCGAAGGAACCGCTCAGGCGTCGTCGCCCTGCCCAGTGCGGACACCGGAGAGGGCGGCGGAAGGAGGACGCGCTCGCCCGTTCGGTCCCTCCGCACCCCGACTCCCCGACCCGGTGCGGCGCCCAGAGGGAGGAGTCGCCGCGGGCACGCCCCGCCTCCGGGCCGGGGAAGACGACGCCTGCGAGCCGGCGGTCAGCCACCGCCCCCCTCCCCGGCCGAGACCCACCCCCGGCCCTCCCCGGCGGCATGGAGGGGCCGCGCTCCTGACGACTGTGCCGCCGCCCCGGCGCACGGCTCCTCCCGCCCGCCCCCGCTCGCTCGCATGTCCGCGCCGCCCTAGCCGAGGATGCTGAGGATGAAGCTGCCGCTGAAGCCGACGCACC